AGCACAAGGACAATCGTTGCAAGTGTGTGGATTAAATTTGGAGAATCCATGCTTCTAACATGGGCAGCTCTATGAAGCCTGCTCACGCGTCGGAAAACCTTCCGATTTATTCGTTTACGCACCAGATGGAAAAACAAGAAATATTGTGTATCCCACAGCACTTCAATAAATATCGAATTGAAACGAAACGCTGCAATGTCACAATTTTTTCAAAATGAACAAAATCAATAAAAGGGCCCAGGGTCTTTCCTTCATATTTATTTTAGTTGGTGGCGTAGTAACGCGCGCAGGGTACAGCTAGTACTCTCATAAAAAAATAATAAACGTTAAATAGACTAAAGAAAAATAACCAAAACTTACTAAAATGTCGCGTCCCAAATCGGTAACCGATTTATCAATTTGTTCCAAACTCAGTGCAGTTATTGACCTTGGCATAAAAAAGCTATGTATATGTTGAAAATTTTCGAAATCGGACTAAAATTACGCCAACTTTCCACTTCCAAACAAAAAAAAAAACGCGTAAAAAACTTTAAGAACTTTAGACATGTGCTCACGATTTAAAAAAAAAATGTTTAGATATGTGCACGCGATTAAAACAATTTTTTTTTCATATATGTAATACCCAAAGGCATTTTTTATCCAAATCATCAGATCTGCACCGTTAGTTCGATTTTAGAAAATGAGGTGTCAAATGAAAGAGCTTCGGCTGTTGATGCTAGGACTTTTAAGCTGAAGTTCCGTGGCATGAGTTTTAGGCGTTGCGGCGCTCAAGCCTGAAAGATGATTTAGTGCAATTGTATAGAAGCTGCTCCATAACCAAAGTCTGAATTGCCTGAAAGATGCCAAATTTCGAACTTGTTTCAGGCTTTTGGTGTAATCGATAACACTTCCCATATTTTAAAGGAATTTTGCACAAAATTTAGGCAACAAAATGCAAGGAAAAATTATTTATTGTTGGAACATTAATATGAAAAAGGGCAACAAAAGTAATGAATAAATTAAAATGAAATGGTACAAGAAGTATCACTTTTATCGCACTAGCATTTTTAAATCGATATCTCCTTTGTCGGAAAACTTATTCCTACACCATTCTCCCCATTTTGTGCGAAATGTCAAAGGTTTGAAGAAACGTCAAGCGCAAAAAGTTTGTTTTGGAGTTGCTCGCCTGAAAAGCCTGAACGACTTCGAAAGCCTGTACGACCAAACCAAGGATATATGGGAGGCTATAGCTCCAAAATTTTCACCGAGATACACATTAGGTATGCCAAATTGAATCTAGGAACTAAAAAAAGCAAAAGTATACTGAACATTGTGTTAATAATTCTTTTTTTTTTTGTGAAAATTGCCAAAAAGGTATTCAAAATATACTTATGAGTGAAAAACTGTAACACTTGCCTGTGTTTACGTTTTTGTCTGCTGGTTTGATTATTGTTGTTGGGTTGACTTCAAATCGTTATGAAAGAGGAAGTACAGGTGTACCAATAAGAATATACAACAAAAGTATGAATCTCGTTAGAATTTGGAAAGATGGCGGTGGCTGAAATAAAAAGTGTTAGACCATTACAGTTTTGCTCGTCACCGTATTTTTAAAATCCAAAATGCTGCATCCAATAAGGCGGACATAAAAATAAAAAAAAATTGTGGATTTTAATGAAACATAGTATTTAGGAGTTTCCATGATATCTGATTAAGGATTCGAAATTTGGTTTTAAAAATTTTGTGTGGGTACTTTATATGGTATATTTGTATACGGTGACCTTTCGTACCGATTTTGGCGGGACAATTTGTTCGCTGAGTATTTTTTAAAAGTCGGAACGTACAAGTGTCCCGAGTTTTCATATTTGTGCCGATTAAATTCCGATTTTCAGGGTTCTCTTTATTCATTTAATATGAGTCTCCGTGAACTCTGGCCCAAAACCCATTTTCCTGATAAACGTGGCAGCACGTTCGTTATCACAAAAACATGGAATATAAGGGAGCCATAAACATAGCTAGCATCCTTATTTTCTATGATCTTTGGTTATGTTTTATTATGTCAAACTGGTACTTTCGCTATATTACAGTCTGTCATCATTGCTTAACTTTTTTTTAAGGTTTTTATAATTATTTGTTAAGTTTATTGTTTTTATACCCGAGCGTACTTGTGCACAAAGGTATATTAATTTTGTTCACATAACGGTTGTTTGTAACAGCCAAAACGAATCGAGGTAGATATAGACAAATGTATACATAAATGATCAGGATGAAAAAAGAAATCGATTAAGCCATGTCTGTCTGTCCGTCCGTCTGTCCGTCCGTCCGTCCGTGTACACGATAACTCGAGCAAAAATTGAGATATCTCAACGAAATTTGGTATGTAGGTTTCCCTTAATCCAAGGTAGGTTGGTATTGAAAATGGGCGAAATCGGACTGTAACCACGCCCACTTCCCATATAACGGTAATTTCCAGAAATACGAAAACTGCGATATTTTAGTAACTACTGAAGATAATTCACTCAAAATTGATATTTACAATAATTTTTAGACGAAAAATAAGAATATTATAAATTTTTGGAAAATGGGCGTAGCCACGCCCACTTATGGTTACATGTGTATATCTTGGTAACCGCTGCACCAATTTCTTCCAAACTTGGCACAGTTGTTGGCCTTGGTACAGCATAAAAAATCGCCGAAACTTTTTAAAATCGGACAATAACCACGCCCACATCCCATATAACGGTAATTTAGAGAAATACAAAATCTTCGATAAATCAGTAAATATTGAAGCTAATTTATTCAAAATTGATGCTTACAACAATTCTTTACCAAGAAATACGTTTATGGTAAAATTTTGGAAAATGGGCGTGGCACCGCCCACTTATGATATCGGTAACCGTTCTACCAATTTGTACCAAACTCGGTATGGTTATTGTGCTTGCCACATATAAGCAAAACGTTGAAAATTATTGAAATCGGACTAAAATTATGGCCGCTTTTCATATAACGGTAAATTTTAGAAATGCTTGAAACTGCAATATTGAAATTGAAAGGACGCTAATTTACTCAAAATTGATACACCCCGGCTTACCATCTAGCGGTAGGTTTCGGAAAGGTGAAAAAACATATATTTAATACTTGCGCCGGGTATTTAATGTTCGGCTCCGCCCGAACTTAGACTTTCTTACTTGTTTAAATCAAACAGTGTTAATTTGAATTTAGTGAAATTATAAAAAACTATAGTACCAATTTTCTCAAAAAATTGATGTGAAAAATATAAGCTGTATATATGGACCCTTCATTTAAATTTTATCGTAAGTGCAAATAGGTTACAAATACTAGTTACAACGCCATACAAAATCACAGACTTTGAATAATTACCTTTACGGGAAAAAAGCAAAATTAATTTTATGGTTCGCTATTTTTACACGTTTGAGTTCCTAAAATTTTATCGTAAGCGACACTGTGTGTACAGAACTTTATTGTAGGCACTTGCTGAATGCTCCAAAATCAGCTTCTTCACCTCATCAAAATTAAGTGCAATTTCGTCTTATTTTAAAACTCTTGCTGCGCAATGGGGTTATAAGATTGTAAAGCATATCAGAAATATGAAAAATGACATTTAATTCTTCTTCTTCTTCTAATTTTTGCCCTCGTATAGAAAATATTGCAACTGAATTCGAATTACCATCTTAACACCAGCTTATATGGCTATATGGATTCACACTTTCGAAATTATTTAATTTTGCCGTTTATCTTCTTTCAAATTACTTATAAGATTTTGATTTTATCACTTTTACTTGTCATAACTTTTGCACTGCAGACTTCTTTTTATAAAATTGCAGTCTTTGATTTTAATCTCAAGATTAAAAATTTTCGTTTAGCAATTTTTTCTCCAATAACTAGGTTTAAACCACACGATTAGTCGAGAAATATAACAACTGATTTAGAAACTTGCCAAAAATCTCCATAATATGAAGATTCTGGAACTGAACCTATTCTGATCAAGGATTTAATTTTGACTTTTTCTTATTCTCTAAAAAAAAGTGTAAAAAAACCAAGGTGGTCGTTTTAGTTTGTTAGAGAATTGAATGATGAGACACTGCATCCACGAAAATACCTTGAGCTTAGTCTGCTGAAAAATAGAAAATAAGCTATGCAAAAAATAAATAGTCCTTTTAGAAAGCTAACATTTAATAATGCTGTTGTCCATTTAAATCCAAATAAATTTTAACACTTTTTAAGTGAGAATAAAGAAAAACTCCCCTGTAAAATTTACCTTTTGTCGCTTACGATAAAAATCGCAAATAGGGGTAGATATTGTGTGTATACATTTTTGCGGTAATCTTTCAAGTTGTTTTCTCATTCACGGAGAGAAGTTTTTTACTTAAAGTTGGATTCGTGAAATGTTAAAATTTGGTTTAGTTTTGACTGAATTTTAGAAAAACACTTAACTGAAAACTTACAAACAACAACAAAACCTATTGGAACAATACCGTTTGAAAAAATATTAACATAAAGGAGAAAGCATTTTCTTAAACTTACTAAATTTAAGAAACTGACTTTACTCATATTAAGAAAACAATTTGCATACAAGAGTTCAGTTACGTTAACTAAATATGTTTCTCTCAACAAATCGCACACCGTCTTCAAAAGAGTCACAACTCAATATAATACGTTTGGCCGAAAATGCGAAAAACTATTTCTTAGCACATGATAATCATATGGGCAAGGGCGACTTTACCTTAGACTTTTTTTTAACAAATTATAACAAAAATTTGCTCCAGCTTTTGCTGAAAGGTAAATAAAAGCTCTGCGTACATTTTTAGCGCATAATCTCAAAAATGCCAAATTTTGAGTTGTGACTCTTTTGAAGACGGTGTGCGAAATGACCTGGTTACAGTTATGTTATTTGTTATAGTTACCAAATCATGTGTTGATAGAAATAAATTTAGCTGACTGTTTTCTGGGTGTGCATTTAATGCAATTATAGATTACTGATTTCAGTTTGTTCTACTTACCAGCTTATCGTTGAAATCAACAGTCACGTGGCTTTATTTCGTGATATGTTAACGCAAATTGGTATGTCGAAGGATTGCCCTGAGATGCGTGAAAAGATACGAAAATTGCGTCGCAACTGCGTCGAAGCTTGCAAGCATACAGCGCGAATAATATTGCCGCAAGTCAGAAGGTAAACTCGTTATTTGCAATAATAGGTTCTTTCCCGTACGCAACACGAGATCCCGCGGGTGCCCAAAAAAGTCCAGAAATCATTCAACAAAATGGGTAGTAGAGAGCGGAAATTGGAACGTATTGGATCGTAAGTGTCTTCTTCTTCCTGCCCAAAACAGCCCGGACTTCTTTTCCGGCTAAAAATGGATAAAGTGTCAAAGGGCATATCAGCTGTTTTGTGTTTACATGTTGCCTGTTTCTAGTGATGTGCTGAGTCAATACTTTTTACAGGCTAACCTAATATTCACGCATGCCGCCAATTTATTGTCAAAAATTTCTCATGCACATGCAACTTGTATGAGATCAACCGAAATTGAACGGCGTGCGTATGAAGCTAACTCAATTTCCAATTTTTGTTCTGCGTGACATTTTGATTTGACGTTTCGCTCAATGAAATCAAATGCAAACGCATGCAAGTCAATTTCGGGTGACGCAAAAAAACAAATTCGACGGCATGCNGGACGCAAAAAAACCAATTCGACGGCATGCGTACCAAAACGCAAGCCGCGAATATTAGGTTAGCCTGTAAGTATTGACCGATATTCGGTACCGATTTAAAAAGTATCCAATACTCTCGATACTCGGTACCGAAACATTTAGGTTTCGAATAAAAGCGCAAATAGCCCAAAAATATGGAAAAAAAGGTTGCGGGGAGACTCGCCTATATAAACCCGAATGTAGGAGCCAATAGAGCTTTTAATACGGATTCAAATAAAAGATGTATATATGTCGTTCGAGGCCATAATGCAGAGACACTCTTACTTGTTTGAAGCATTTTTGTTCCAGCTGAATCGGACGATATCATTTTTGTAGGCCTGGGGGCAGATTTTGTAACCAGTTAGCGACAATTTTCGAATCGGCATCGGTTTTGTTGACGTATGATATAAAATATTTTTACGTCAACAAGTGCGATATCGATTCGAAACTTGTCGCTAACTGGTTACAGAATCTCCCCCCTGAAAGGCTTCTTCATCCGTAGGAGCATTTTTCTTGAACCTTGGATCAACTACGATTAAAACTGTTAAAATAATATTTTTCAGTTGCGATAAGTTCAAGTGTTTTAGCCGATATCATATAAATTAGTAATTAAAGTTTTTTCTAAACTTGAAATGCATATAATGGCGAAGGTTTAATGTAAAGAATCGGTATCGGGTACCGAAAAAGAAGTATTGGGTACCGAAAACTTTTTTAAGTACTGGGCACCGAAAATTCAGCACATCACTAGTTGTCTCATAAATTCTGGGCACGAAATGTGGTTTTTTGCGTTCCCGTACTTCTGGATTATGTTTCATTTTTGAGAGCAAACTTTTCGCTTATTCTCTAATTACTGGATCCGGTCCGGATTGTTAGGGAAAGAACCTAATATCTTTATGTAACTACATTTGATTATACATACACTAATAATGGTGTTTTCGTTTCTACCAAAAAATGTCGCCTTTTGATCAGGGATGAAAAATGGAAATTTCAGATTGTACCTAATATCACAAAATTAATGCACCTAAAAGAGACAGATTGTACCTAAAAAAAAGTTATATCATTCGTTTGTAGTTTTGTAGTAAATTTTATTTAAAATTATAGCTTATATATACAGGCTATAGTCTAATGGGAATCGGAGAAGTTTTGTTTTTGTCTAATCTTGACTACTGAAAAATATTGGCGAAAAAGACTTTGCGAAGTTTACTTTTAAATCCATGTTTTTTAAAACAACAGGAAAATTCTGTTAATTTATACGATTCCTTTTATTAGGTGCAGGAAGTCTAGAGAAAATAATCGGAATTGCCGTAAGTAACTTCGAAAGCATTTTAAATATATTTCTAGAAATAAAAATGCGAATATGGGTCAAATAGCTTTTGTCTCAAATAAAGAATATACGAAATTCGAAGAAATCCTAGACACCTTTTGACCACTTTCCTTTAGAATTGTTTATTCTTCAAAATGAAAGCGAAACTTCTCTCATACCTACAAGCAAGTATATGAGCACGGTAAAAGAAAAAGAAAAAAAAAAAGAAAAATGGATCAGACCAAAAGATGATTATACCTAAAATGTAGTGATTGTACCTTTAAGTTATCAAACGTCGGAAAAAGGTACAATTGTACCTACTTTTTCATCCCTGCTTTTGATTGCCCCTTTCTCTTTTCGTCTTCATTAAATAAAATAAAAGTAAACGGACAGAAAACTTTGTGTTCGTTTCTTAAAACGCCACACTTTGAAGCTTTGTCAGGGGAGATGATTGCCCTGAAAATCAGATGGCTGCTTAAAACGTGAGCCAGACAAGGACCAGGAACAAAATCATGCCCTTTTACAGGGTTGAGTGTATTTTGCACCGATAAAGGGGATTTTTTTGGGAAGAAATGAAACCAGTATTAAATTAAAGAATGAAAAAAGCATAAAAGTGAATCTATGAATTCTAATATTTTGTTTTTAGTTCGACGGCTGACGGTATGCTGGCTGATAATCCGCACTTTGTCTTATTGTTTTACTTAGCGAAGCTGTTTTTACGTGAGCTGCTAAAAAGTTACCGCCTGGTTCAAGTAGTGCCAATGGATATGTCCGATTACTACGGTATGTATTAAACTTCCCCTAAAATAGTAAAAAAATACATCTCAACAATAATTATTAATTTTGGGCTAAAAAAATAACACAATCACACAAGAATGATTAAATGCTGATTTAAATTAATTTACGTATAACGATAACCATCCCATAATTGACTTACCTTACTCCAGTGGTCGGCGCTTCATACCACAATTGTGGAAAATCAACTCACAGTCGTTGGCTAGAGAGCAACGAATCAACATCGTGTTTGGCTCAGGGATGATAAATAGGTTTTAGAATTTTGTACCAAATGGCCAAAAAAAAAGTACTAAATCAGCCGAAAAAGTACCAACATTTAAAAGACCATACATACATATAAACACATATGTTTTTAAATTAGGTAAATATCTCTATTGGTACGTGCGTTTAACAACTCCAGTAAAACATGTCCAGCAACAAAATTTCCGTGAAATGTCATCTGGTATCTCACAAGAGGAAAATATCCAGTATAGTTTGCAGCAATTTTCAAGCTATCCGAACAGCTGCTTAAATTTTCGTTTAGATTCAAAAGTGTAAACAGAAAAAACTCTTCCATCAATCTGAAATTCAGGCAACCGGATCACTGTAGCGTTTTCCAAGCAAAGGTAGCCGCAATACGGGAGGCTTCGGATTGTTTGCTCTCTAGTGTAACCCATTTTATGTAGGTGAATATCTATTTCGACAGCCAAGCAGCTCTTGGATCCTTGTTGGTTCGTTAGAAAACGGTGAGGACTGGTTGTACTTCCTTATCGACCGCATCGGATGCTTAATATCATCGATGNTATTAAGCACAATTGGGTTCCGGGTCATAGCGAAATCATGGGTAACTGCGTAGCCGATGAGCTGGCAATACATGGAACCCTTGAGAAATTGCTCAAGGCCTGGGTGCTCCGCTGATCTGATGCGGTCTCCTTCTGGACAGATGGGCGTTTAGTCAGCTCAGCATGCGCTNACAATTGGGTTCCGGGTCATAGCGAAATCATGGGTAACTGCGTAGCCGATGAGCTGGCAATACATGGAACCCTTGAGAAATTGCTCAAGGCCTGGGTGCTCCGCTGATCTGATGCGGTCTCCTTCTGGACAGATGGGCGTTTAGTCAGCTCAGCATGCGCTGGGCAAAGACCTTTTGGATGCAAGGTGGCTAAGTCCTTCTGACCACGTGTAGACCAGGGGCGGTCCAGGGAGCTCGTGAGACTAAGCAAGTTACACTTCTCACTTCTTGTGAGCGTTCTAACTGGTCATTGCGTTATAGGTAAGCATGCAGTAGGGCTGAATATCTCCAGCTGCATGGTGAATAGTGGTATGGAATTATCTCAAGACCTGATGCTCTGGAGTCCTGCCTTTGCGAAACTAAGGGTCAAGCACCTCGGGTCGCATTTCTTCCAGACTATCGATGAGAATAGATATCATTCGCTTAAGGAGCTTCGTGGTGAGCACGGAGCGTTTTTCCTACAAGTCGCTATATATGTCATCGTCCTGTTCCTACCCTCTCACCCTTTCCAACTTTCCCATGTCTTCCCCCCTCCTCTTCCCATATAACAGCATACGTATGTTTTGTGGAGTTGTACTCTAAGTTACCAATACAAATAAATATATCAAGGTAATCAAAAAAAGCGTACAAGTATGTTTATTAAGTGCATGTAACACAAAAACTTTACAAAAAAACAGTTACGTTTAACGCAATCGAAGTTTCATAAAAAACATTTTGCAACTGTTTGTTGATTTCAGCAAGTTTTTCGTTGTCAAGAAACACCACGTATTTACTTCTATGAGGTAGAAAAAGATGATAATATTTTCATCCATAGAAATTCCAATTTCCAAGTATACACATTGGTATTGCGAGAGAATTTTGCGTAGCGCCATATTTTGACAAAATTCTATCAACAATGTCGATGTAGTACCAATGTACTTTTGGAATTCAAAATGTACCAAAAAAGTACAATTGTACCATCAATTTTATCACTGGTTTGGCTGTTGCGCTTTGTTTCTTGTATGCAAAACTGCCTTGCAAGAAATATTACATGCTTGAAAATGCTTTTGGTGACATGCAATACCTTTTGTGTTATAAGTCATTTAAAAAATAAAGAATATGCTATTCAAAGATATTTTGATTCTTTTCATAAGGAAACATTTTGATGAAGAAGAAATACAACGACTTTTTAACGAAAAAAGTTAATTTTTTTTCAAAGAATTAAAGGGTGGTTGTTAAAGGGAATATGTATACGATTAAAAGACATTTTTTATCATTTCATAATGAAATGGGAAATTTTGATAAACACGAATTTAAATTTTTTATTTAACTTTTCAATATTTGACGTGGGTGAATCCAAATGAATTTAGGCTGATTTTGTTCTAGTGAGCTACTGATAATCGTTACAGCTATGAAATTCCTACACATCATAAGAAAGAGCTAATGTCCATTCTTGCATACTTAACCCGATTTTTGATTTTTTGGGATTATGATACTTTTATAGTAATGAGAGATGCACATATATGTACATATGTATGTGTCAAATATATGTATTTATATGTTTTTATTGAAGACCGATTAGTTAAACATTTTTTCACTTCTCGTAATTTCCTACTGGGTTGCTCATGCGGAGCAGTTCTCTTGTTCTCACCAACACAGTCACAGTTTAACTTTTGCCGACCACTGCCTTACTCCAAATACCTCCAACCGGCCTCGAACCTGCGATCTCTGAACCAGACGCCACAGCCTACATTTGCCACAAGACAAATTAACTTCGTCTTAACAGCACTGACAAAATTATTACTTATATTGAGTAAATTTAGTTCCTCAAATTAATGACGCACTATTTTTAGCATGAACCTGAATTAAGGAAAAACTTGAGAAAATGTTTCCTAATATTAAGGAAAAAACAGTAATTCTAAAATAAGGAAACTGGTTTCTTGTTTCAAGGAAATGCTTTTTTCTGAGAGTAGTGACCATTACGGGTTGAAGATCAAGCCTTGGTGTGAAGTCCAACGTGCATATTTTTACGACTCCTTGACTACTTAAGGTTTTCTTACACGATATGTATTTGCATCTGTAAGTGTGACATTTTCAATACATACATATGTAATTGGGTATGTGTCAAATTCAAAGTCTTTATTTAACTATTTAAAAATACGTTCTTTGAAAACGAAATAAACTAAATTCAGATGATTCTATCTGTGTGTCTCGTATGTACGTGCATCTGCTTTGTACAGAAACAAATCTAATTTGCCTTTACACAATATGTTTGCATTTGCATATGTTAAAAGTGGCATGTACACATGAAAATACATATCGTGTAAGAACATCTTTAAGGATTTACTAAAAATCCCCGGGTTTGTATTGCTGGATTGGTTAATGAACGCTCAAGATAACCAAATAATAGTACAATTAATTGCATTGTACATCAAACACTATAATGTTCGCTAATGCAGTAGCAACACTTTAAAATACTCGTTAGGGCAATTAAAACACTTTACAAAACTTGCTACCAAAACTGAACTTGTAGCTTGCTGATTCGCAACTGACTTGCCTTGCGCTGTAGCAGCGGCCTTATATACCTGCGCTGGCACTCATGGCAACTCTAGAACGTTCTGCCGTCTATCTCTCATTCTCTCTCTGTCCGCAGAATTCATCCACTTGATGTTTCCCGCTGTCGAATATTCTGCCATTTTCTTGTTGTTCGCTTCGCGTTTGTAAGTCCGAAAATAGAAGTGGTATAGAAATCTTCAAAATCAATATTTTTCGATCAGAAAACTCTGATTCTCTTCAGGAGACTTCCAGTAACAATACCCAATTGTTTATTTAACCATTTTTTAATACTAAAGATTTTTATTTATCCCAAATTGCATTTTCTTGCAACTTCTGGGGATTTCGGCGGACCTATAAAATATAGTTACTATGAAACAATATTCTGAAAGACATATTCTGAAAAGAAACGGAGCTTTCCGATCGAAAATTACTGATTTTGGAGAATTCTATACCACTTCTACGAAAAGTTGGTTTACCCATATCAAATACATGGACAACTTTGAGCCCTTTCAATAATTCTATACCATTTTTACGAAAACTTATTTTTTACCATATAAAATACATGAAACACTTTGAGCGCTTTGACCGACCCCTAAATATTTTTTGATTTCAAATTAAAAAAAGGGGTAATTTTTTCTCGGTATAGAACACTCCTAGGGGGTAGGAGCATACAAATTCCGACTTTTACTTTTCCACATGCATTTTTGGACCACCCTATAGTACATACATGTATTTTCGAAACGTTACAAATACATAAATAATTTGTTTTATCAATACTAGTACGTTGTGTATGCAAGCCTCATTAAGCGGGGTTTTTTTATACATACATATGTACTTATAAGCCCCAAATGTTTCATTAAGTAGGTTTCTCATATAAGCCCCAAATGTTCTATTAACCTGGATTTTTATAAATGACTTCCCCGGATAAATCGTCTGAATTTCGCGCATTTTGCCCGGCTCTTATATCCGAAAATTACTGTAATATCAAACGAAGTTGTATATTCCCATTACTATATATATAGTAGTAAGAGTACGAATATAAAAAAAAATATTACAGAAAATCGTGCTGGACCTTCAAATCTGGGAAATGTAATGAGTAAAATTTTGCTCTGCAAACAAATAACACCCGACTTCAATCAGGAAGAGTTGTATAGTATTACAAAGGACTCGCAAGAAATCGCAAGGCTGCTTACTGAAATGCAGGAATACATGCCACAGAATAAAGCATATATTGGTAAGTAAGGCGTATTCTAATACAACAAGAAGTTTTTAAATAAAACACAAAGCCGACTTCAATTATCATATACAAATTTAAGATTACCGTTAAATACTTCATGATCCAATGATCGTATCTAAACCAAACTATTATGAGACCACCTCGGAGGTACCACCTCTCCTTTAAAAAAAGATTATAGAACGTGGTACAAAATTATGCGCTAACATACAAAAAAAATTGAATTGATACCTTCTCCTTTTTTTGAAGTCGGTTAAACACATAATTGGGTTGTTCACAACGGTGTCGCATTGTTGGATGTCGTAAACTTTAAAGTGCTAAAAATATAAATATTTGGGAGGACTCGCAAGGTACCATAAAAGTCATACATATCATTATAATATTTCACACTGTTAAAAAATAGTTGATTGTGGTTTCACGTCCTTTGAGGTTTATCAAAATAAAGTTTATAACATACAACAAGACGACACCGTTGTGAATACCACAAATATCGTCATCTTAAACTTTGTGGAACTTTGATACTCAAAAAATCTTAAAAGGGCGTAACGGGCATTACCGTTGACAATGAAAGACCCAGATATAAAAATTCGGTTATCAAATATGAGCATTTACATACATATTTGTCTTTCTTATTTAGAACGTAATGCCGCACTAGGCTCCAATGGATTGTGCCCTTTCAAGCGAAGGCGAAGTGCCATTTACAAAAACATCAGCTTACTCTGTTGCGTGTCAAGACCGAGTTACTTATGAAGAAAAACAGGATCGAAGATGGTTGACATTCAAATGGTATAGTTACAACGGTGGGCAAACGCGGCTCTTTGAGCCAAATGCGGCTCTTTGCTTAGCAAAGTGTGGCTCCTATTACTTTACCTTTGCTTAGAACATTTTGGCTCGTTTTACTTTTTAAAATACAAGTTTCTTTGCTGGACATTCTTTTCCACTGTGTTGTTTTTTTATTTTATTCTTTTTATATACACATACGCAAATTGAGATCGGAACATTACTCGCAATTGGAGAATGAAAATGATAATGGAACATTTGCAAAACTTGAAAATGTCTCTACAAGGCGAGAATAAAAATGTTTTTGATTTGTCGCAAATTATTTTAAGTTTTGAAGCTAAACTACGTCTTTTTATTCATGATCTCAAAAAAATAACATTGCATCATTTTTCATGGCTAGAAAAAAATATTTCGCATGACTTGAAAGCAGATTGTGAAAAAAGATTTGCCGATTCGAAATTATTTAAATGTACGTTTGCATACTTCATAAACCCTTTGTTATGGAACATAACTGAGGATGAATTTACAATATCCGAAATACTCCTTTTTAAAAAAACCGAAGAAGAGTTAAAGTTTTTGGAATTAAAAGAAGATAAGGCCCTGGAAATGCAACATAAATCCCTGCCATTACTTGAATTCCGGCAGCAAGGACCAGATTTAAAATATCCGCTGTTGAAAACAGCTGCATGCCGTATATTTTCCATTCTATTCGAATGAAATTCGTAAAGTCAATATAGCGTTCACAATTAGTTGCATTTGCGTGCCTGATAATTATTGAAAGTGATAAAAACTATCGGCTTTTTGTGTTCGCGTACGCAAAAAAACTTGCAAAGTAGGGGAAATTGAGAGAACAAACCCAGCAAAAAACACGATTACAACAGAAACGTAAGTGGAAACGAGCTAGGCGATGGGAATCGCTTACCCTTTCGCTTCAAGAAGGCATTATTTTAACATGGGCATGTCATTGGCCGTAGGCCCTTACCCGCAGCATTACTTTCGAACGAAGGGGAACGCATGGATAAACAGAATCCAGAGAAGCGAACAAAGAATGCCTTACAGAGAAACTAATGTAGAATGCCTAGATGAGTACATACTTATTTATATTATATTGAAAACAGAAAATACAAATTGTCTTAAAAGATTAAAATCTTTATTTATCAGTTTTTATACATACATATATATGTATTTAGGTATTTAGATTTTACTTTAACCCTTTCCGGTCAAATCCGTCCCTGATGAATATAAAAATGTTTCCTCTTAATTACAAGGTTCATAGAGCCTCATATTTAATACCAAAAGTAATAAAAAAATATTCAAAAGTTGTTTTGCGTAGCTATTAGGGCTACCTCAAATTTGTGCAATATATTGTACAAAAGTCCGCAAAGGAGTAAAAGCACTCAAGAAAACTCAATAAATATTTCACTAAGTTTGACGGAATAAAACTTTTATTTCATTGAAAATGAACTTAGGTATGTACAAAATAATGTATTTTACTGTAAATATGTGGAATGAATATTTTATATCTTTTTGAGTATCTTTAGTTAAAATTTGCATTAAAAAATTTTAAATTTTCTCCATGAGAAGAGAATTATATAAAGAAATTTTGAATAATTTCAGATACAATTACAATATAAAATACAAATGACCCGTTTTAATAAACCTTCCCGGTTTTTCTGCCTTCAGTAGATCAAGGAATCAAAAACCTACCCTTTACTGCAACAACAGCGCACAAGCTCTTCAAAAACCACGGCAAAAACCACCCTAATTGCCTGTTCAACTGCAACCTTTGCGGACGTTTGTACAATATATTGTACAAGACACTTACAACCTTTCAGTGTAAATGTACAATATATTGTAAATTTTGTTTTACCACTCGGGAAAAATATTTTAAATCATGATAGTTAAATTTTAGCATTTTTATATGATGAAATGCTTTTTATATTTCCATACTATTGATGTGCTTTTATTAGCTTTAGGTTTACTTGACTTTCACGTATTTTTTGTACAGTAAATTACCACAACTTGCGTGTCACTGGAATTTTATAAAATGGTTTATTTTTAAATTAAATTCTAAAAATATTTTTGAAACGTTTTCGATTTTGAAATTTACGTTAAGGTCGCAGTGCTCTATCCCCGACAATAATAATTCGGGACATTCCAAAACTTCATAAAGTTTGATTTGTTTTCAAAAATATTAATAAGATTTTTAGTAGCACGCTTCCAATGTTACAAAAAATTAAATGTACAATATATTGTACAAATACAGGGAAAGGGTTAAAATCGGTATGTACATACATACTAGGGCGGGTCAATTTGTATGGATTGATTTTTTCGACATTGTTCCTAGCATATTCGGATTCTTCATAAAATTCTAAGAAAAAAATTCCTCCAGACCATAGCTCTAAAGTCAATTTCGAGCCTGCGCATTTTTAAAAGAAGATATCTTATATACAAAAATGAATTGCTGTCCGTTAGCCTCGCTAAGACTCGAAAACGGCTTGACCGACTTGAATATTTTTATTTTTTTGGTTTGTTTTTTATAATATCCGGATGGTTAAAACGAGAAAAAATAGAGAGTTGCCACCTGTTTAAAAATTCAGTATAAGTAAATTAATGACATAAATTAGATATTGCAATATGGGTGTCAAAAGAAAGAGGTTATGAAGGCTTACAGGCGAAAATATTTTTCAGGGGGGTTGTCACCTGTTTCAAAATTTAATTAAAGTAAATTGGTAAGATAAATTAAATATTGCAATATGGGTATCAAAGTAAAAAGGTTTAAGAAGGCCTACTACTGAAAATATTTTTGAGTCGAGTTGCCACCAATTTCGAAAATTTAATTCAATAAAGTTAATAAGATAAGGTATGTATAATAATATAGGTGTCAAGCGAAAAGTACTTGAAAAATTATTGATTAAGAAATATTTTCTATAGGCCTGTCATCTACCTGAGCGGTAAAAACTAAAAGCCATACTCGCAATTATTATTCAAAGCTTTTGAGGCTCGCATCAATGTAGAATACTGTAACTCCGTCAAGTTAGTGTTTATTGATGGCAAACAAAGTACTATCATGTTTGGCAAAGATATCACCCCATCGAACAATGCACTAAGCCTCGATATAAAAAGAGAACAAAAGCCGAAGTTTTAGCCGAAGCAGTTCATACAAATGTTCCACAATTGAACTAACAAAAAAATATGGCCTACGACTAGGGCTGTGCGATTAATTGATTATTCAAAATTTTAATTAATCATAAAGTAAATAACTCAATTATTCCATTAATTGGGCATTATGATTACTCAAAAGTTCAGTTACTCGAGTAATCAAGATTTTGATTAACCAAAAACAAAAATATTTGAGTAATTTGCTTTATGATTAATCAACATTATGAATAAAATGAGTAATCAACACTTCAAAGTACTCTTTAAATACATACATATAAAGCAGTTGAAGTTCCTTGATACTTTGAAAAAAACGTTTCTGTTTTCAAAAATTAAAATGAAATACATACATACATACATATTTTTTTCATATACAGAACATAAAAAAGAAAAGAAGCATTTTCCAAAGCAAACTCTTTTAACGAGCAAAATTAATTTTTTTGAGTAGTCATATTTCAAGTAACTCGATTAATCATCGTTTTGAGTAATCAAAATCTTGATTACTCGAGTAATTGATTAACCGAATAACTGATTAACCAACTTGCTCGAGTAATCGAATAATCGCACAGCCCTACCTACGACTCTTTTATAGAAACTGTGGACACTGAAGTAAATTTTAAACAAAAAACAAAACCGACTTCAATTCTCATATACAAATTTAAGAGTACCGTTATTTTCTTTATGGCCCAATTATCGGATCTACATTCAGTTAGTAGGAGACTACCTCTGAGGAACCACCTTTCCTTTAAAAAAGAATTGAAAAAAAACGGATAACGTAGTCCAAAGTTATCCGGTAACATACATAAATATTGTAACGGGAGAAGTTACTGTATGTTTTTTTATATACAGTGTCGAACAAAAGTTTTGGCACAGTAAATTACACAATACAATATTTCCAAATTATTTTTCGAATCATAAATTTTGTTATGATTAACAATGTATTTATATTTTTTTTTGTTTCAGATCCTTTTTGCTTTCAACACAAGGTATCTTTTTTCTACTTTCTATTGTCATAGCCATAACTCCCTCTCTATTTTTACCAATCAATCAATCAATTTTATTATTTTTTTCGGCATTTTTCCTAAATACCAGTAGAGCTTTATAAAAATTGTATAACACCAAATGTTTATCAAGCTTGGGATTTTGTGTTATCCGGATAGGCTTATTAATTTAACCAGATAATATGTTTTCTTTATTAAGTTTACCCAGTTCCCATTTTAAACTGCTGCCTGTACTGTGTCAGCGGTTAAAACTTGTTAAATTTTTATTTAAAATTTGCGGTAAGGAATAAGCGAGTGGATGAAAAATATATAACGGTAAGAACGGCCCATATATATGTACAAATATATGGAAGAATACACATATGCGACGTCTCTAGCCATTGTGTGTCACTCCTTTAAATTATAGTTATTTTTTCTTATTGTTTTAAAAAAATAATGTTCGTAACACTTTAGTAAATATTAATACATATATTAACTTAGTATATATTAAAGACTAGAAGATGACCCGGTGAACTTCACTTCATCTATAATTTATCTGAATTTCACGTTGATCAATTATAACAAATCTTCAAAACGCAATACATTGAGATCACTAATACTGCCTGCTGTTATAGCTGATAAAAGATTTCACACCTATGAGATGTGCCACGCCCCTTTTTACAAACTCACTTATATACATATATTTTTCCATAAGCACCTACCATAGGTATCTGTACATTTCAAATTTCGAGTTCATGTGACTATAATTCCGAAGTTAGAGCTGATTAAAAAATTTCACTATGGGAGGTATTCCCCCATCCCCCTCACCCCTTGGCGAGTTCCAATTTTTTACCCTATTATAGGTCT